ATGATTTAATAAATTAATGTTTCAAATTTAAAACAATAAATTATATAATTATTATATTATATTATATCATATATTAATCGTTTTAATTAACATTGAATTAAAATAAAACATGTTATTAATTAAAAAATAATTAGAATGTATATATAAATAATTTATAAAATAGTTAATAAATGTTGTAGTGGGAACCACTTTTGAAAGTGTAGGTGAATTGCAGATGTGTAGGTGGTAATTACAAAAGCTGACGTGACACAGTTGAAAGTATTGTAGGTGAATTGCAGGTGTGTGGAAGATAATTGCAAAAGCTGATGTGGCACAATTGAAAGTGTAAATGGATTGCAGGGATGTGGATGGTCTAAGAAGAGTCTCAATGACATCAAGGTCATCAATGTTGGGTTCATCATGATCATCAAATTGTGAGCAAGTGTTGTCAGTATCAGTAGTTGGTGGCATTGTTAGGTCATGGCTCATTCGTTTTCTTCACCAGTTCAAGCTCTATTTCTAGTGATGTCGTGTGTTTAATTCTTTCATTGTCATCCAAATAATCTTTCATGCACACAAAACACCCCATGAACTGCAGGTTTAGTCTTGTCCGCCGCATCGGGATGATCCTGCCACTAAGAGAAAAATCGAATTTCGAAGCTAGGGTGCTATCTTGGATTGTTAGTATATCAGAGGCCATGCATGCCAAAACCAGAAATTGCGGTTGCTTTTGTTTCCACCATTTTAATAAATCAATACTTTCAAAATCTTTGGCATTCGAAAAGGAAATAAAATTAGTACGCATATACACACTTAGTTCACCCAAATCGGTATCAAATCTAGATTTTTTACTCGTTTCATTTTGAACATCATTAAGACGTTAGTTACTAACTCACTCCGGTTTTGGCGATGAAAACTATAACTAGAACCCGGAAAAAAGCCCGACTGTAGTGCAACCTGTGCTATTTAAAACCACAGGGACTAAATAAGTAATTTAGGTGTTAAGCGCTTATCAAGTCACATTACTTTACCGAATGAATATGGCAAGGACTAAGAATCTTACCGGGTAAGAGCGAAGGCAAGAATCAAGAGTCTGACCCGGTAAGTGAAGACGACAACTCTTACCATAGTTAGCGCTTACCGGGATAAATTGTTACATACGATGCGTTTTGGTGAATAAAATCTTACCCGATAAGTAAGCGATAGTGTTGAATTTTACCATTACGCGCTTACCGAGTAAGTGTTTAGGTAAACAGCCCCTTACTCTAACTTATGAAATATAATTATTTATATATTTTTTAAAAGAAAAAATAGGTAAAATATCAAAATGTCCACTGATTTAATTGAATTAATGAAGTTTATTTTTTTGGGTTAACTAAAAAAACCGTAACCGTGACAAATTGAATACCATAGGTATCAAAATCAAGGCCACAGAGGTTCAAATGCGGTGACTCTGAGCTATCTGTAAAGCAGGTGATCGCCCTGTGATAAGTCGGCTTGCATAACGGGTTGGATATCTAGGTTAATAAAAAAAATCAATAATAAACATAATACTGACTTTGGTCATAAAAAAAAAAATCAAAACACAATGACCAAATCCATAATTCACTACCTGTTTTCTTCATTTGATTCGTGAATATTGAATCTCACCAATCAACTCGGTCCAAGGTCGTACATTCGATCCTTCAAGAGTCAATTCCGAACCTAGTTCCTATAAGATTTATTGGGTTCGTTTGATTCTAAATTAGGCACGGAACTTGTTGTCATCAAAGTAAAAAGAAAAAAAAAACTCATAATGCAAATAGTTATGCAGTTTAAAATCAGGAATAAGATCATTTCCCATGACCAAAATTGCAAGGCAACCATCAATTTTCCATCTATAGACATATCAGCATCACACACAAACGAGAAACATAATCGTCCACAGTTTCTGTGTATCTACGTATATATTTAGATAGCAGCAGTAAACGAAACGAGTCAGTGCATGGTGGGGCGAGGCGTTCGTGGACGAACAGGGGTCTTCGAAGGGCTTACCCTGCATCAACATAATAAACACATTTCAGTGTTTAAACAAATAATAAAACCCCAGCGGGTCCCACATGGGTCTTTTATTTTTCAAAGCCACAACGTTTTGAGAAATTGGAGGATGGCTACAGAAGAATGTCATTTCCATACACAAGAATGCCTAGAAAGTTATCAGAATGTCATGGATTCGGAAAAGCACTTGTCACGAGGTCATTTAGCTAAATAATCCCACACGGAGTAAGGTATTGGGAAGGGTAGAGAGAGTTTCCGTAAAAGATCCTCCCCCCTTTTCTTGAAAAGTTTTAGAGGATACCTTATTGGCAATGATCCTAATACTGCACCGCTACAGTTCAGAGCTGCAATTGCACTCTCGGCCTGTAACATCCAGCACATGATTACTACAATGTATAAATAAGCAAGAGAAACGAAACTTCCATAAAAAGATGAAAAAGACGCAAGATATCCTATCCGTGTTGAATTCCTCACTCGTTGCTCTAGTTTCACAGAAAGATGGTCATTTTTACTGAGTAATTTCTTTCATTGACACAAGGAACCAGAAGACAGTGATTAGTGATCAACATCCAAAAACCAGATTAAACAGGACCCTTATTAACAAAAACAGGAGAAAAATAAGGAATAAATAAATAACAGGCAGCAAGATAAAAGTAGAAATAAAATAGCCTGGTTTTCCAAGCTATTATATGTCCAATCAGGTTAAGAAAAGAGAAACCAAACATAATGTATATTCCAAAGCGGTAGAATTAAATTGCAGCAAAAGTAAAACCACATATAACGTAAGGTAATGGTATATGTCATAGTGGGTTGGGTTCCAATGAGAAAGACTCGTTGTCATGAGAAGGTGAGAAAGGGCGAAGGTACCTTCATATCGTGTGAAGGTTTGTCGTAAGACCTATGATGATAACTGTACATTTGTGAAGGTCATGTGACCGGAGATAGACAGTTTTAGGTCATGTGAAGGTTACAACCTTCTTGACACAATATAACGTAACCTTGACACAATATAAAGGTTAGGTTACTTCACATTTTTTTCACCTTCTCACGAAAATGGACACAATCCCGACTCACGTCATAATGGCATTCATTATAATCAACAATGAAACAAAAAAACTCCTATGTTTGTACAGACTAAAAATCTAGAGTCACCATTTGTGATGGAATACAATTAAGGCACTAATCAATGCCAATACTAATAACGGCTCAATACTTTTGAGTGTATTTTCCTTTAGAAAAATAAATGATTATACAGAATTTCTAGGCTAATTTCACTTCGTTACATCTGAACAGCCTATATGTATTTATTTCCTCGTATAACCCAACAATGGAAATAGAAGATTCATAGAAACCAATCAATGCAAAGTAATGTGAGCGAAGATGGCAAATTAGTTGCAACTTGCAAGAGTCTAATTGTCTTGTAGCTGCCCATATTTATTTTTATCTTGTTGTTCATCCTTGTTTGTTTAGCCTTGTATGTTTCCTCTTGCCCTATTTAAAGGGACTTTCTCCCTCGCTAATAAACACAAGTTTCAGCCTACTGAATTACATGGTAGTAAAGCCTAGATTTTGATAATCAAACCCCTAGCCTAATAAAATAACCTGCCTCCTTAGCAGCCATCAATGGCCATTTGCATCCAGAATGCAGTCTACTGCCGACTAATTTTTATAACTATTATTTGCTGTCAGGCTCATTTTCCCAATGCGATAAACATTCCTTCTTTTGATCTCTATTCGACTCTTGTTGCTATTGGCTTCTCGTCTTATTTCATTTACTTCTTTTTATTTAAATCCAAACATATCGATCTCAACCTGGTGGAAATTTTATCTTCAAATACCATTAGAGGTAGGGAAGGCTACTCTTGGAATTAGGATTTATGGTGGAGTCATAAGAGATGGAAACAGTGCTGCCTTGAGACTTGACAGCAAGGAAGATTGTTCACTGGCATCCAAAGTGAGAGGTGGTATTCATTATTTTGATGGTAATTGTTGATGATAAAGTTAGCACGGGGGATAACCAATAAGGCATCGAAGGTTTGAAAAGCTTTATTGGGAATCTGTTTCAATGACCTTAGATGCCTTAATTACTTTCTAGGAATTGAGGTTTCTCAATCTTGATAAGAGATTCTTTAACATCCCAGAACTACCAAAATTTAGCATGCATTTCAGGGAAAGAACAAAAAGTTGCCAATCTTAGAGTACAGAAGAAAGCATGAGATGTCAGTTACAAAATCTGCTGCACATTTTTAGCAGGGAAGGTAAGTAATGGAAGCCGAGTGTTGAAATCACAAGAAGAATTTAAGAGATTTAGGTGTCAAGTACTCTAAACTTAAACCAAAATGAGTACATGATGTGATAGCAAGGAAGAGATGCACTCGAGGAATAGTTAATAGATCAAGCAACCAAATGAATAAATCAATAATGATGATAGATCCCTAATAGCAGAAAGAATGGACGATAGTTTGACGAAAGAAACTAAATGATAAAATGAATTCAATGGAAGTTTTAAGCACAAAAATCTGTCTCGTATTGGGAGTAATTTATTTCCATTTGTCAAGATTAACCAGCATGCGATATGCAAATTTTTGATAGATGTAATATTCCATATGATTTATAGGGCAGAAACATAGTCAAAGTGAAAAGGAAATGTGAGATCACAACATATCAGTAACGTAAAAAGGCTCTCAAAAGTTGTTTAATCTAAATATCAGATTGTATTAGAAATAGGTATTTTAATTTTTTTGTACATCAAATAAGAAGAAATGTACAAGAATATATCATTACCAGGAAGCTACTTTAGGAAACTGTATAAAAATAAACTAGAAAGAAGAGCCCTAATGATCTACATTTAGCTAATACTTCTCCTCAAGTTAGAGCATAGATATTAATAATGCCCAACTTGTTACAAAGATAACCAACCTGAACCCCATTTAAGGCTCTCGTGAAGATATCCCCAAACTGTTATGTGCTCTAATATAATCTATAAATAATTACACACTTTATTGAATTTTCTCACAAACAAATTGACCATCAATCTCAATGTGTTTGGTCCTTCCATGTAATACATGATTGGATGCAATATGAAAAGAGACTTGATTGTTGCACCGCAATTTTGCCAGTACTGAAGTCTTCAAATCCTATTTCAGTTAGGAACTGATATCCACATTACCTCACACATGGATTGTGCCATATCCGTGTATTCTGACTTTTGGCGTTGGATCGATAGATAACATTTCTGTTCTTACTTCTCCATGAGACCGAATTCCCTCTAACAAATATACAATATCGTGAAGGGGATCTTGTATCCATTTTGGCAACTACTCAATCTCCATATGGCTATATCCATGATTTGCATACACAATGCCACATCTAAATGTTCCTTTCAAGTAACACAATTTGTTTTTAACGCTATCCAATTATGAACATTAAAGATGACAAAACTGATTGACCACATTCAATATCAATATCAAGCATCACTGTAAGATAATTCAGCTTGACAGGCTATGTTTGGCAACTGCCTGAAAAACTAGCAACCGATTGAAAGCTAGCTGATAAACTAATCACGTTTGGCAAAATTTGATGATAAGCTAGTTGAGAAATGTAAAATGATCAAAAAGGATATGTGAAAAAACGAGTCAACTCTTAACATTACATAATATAATCAAAACAAATTTGTGATAATAATATAATGTGTTAATGAGTACAAATCAGATGGTCAAGAAAACTAGATAAAAACAATATGTTAATTAATAGAATCTCAACTAAATTATTATTATATATATACATAAAATTATAGATGTGGATTTGGGTAACCACATATGAATTTTAAAGAAAATCTACATTAAATTGATAACTTTAAATAACCGTTGCACATAAATTGAATAAAAGCTAAGTTTGTCAGGTGTACATGTCTTAATTAATTAATAATTCTTCAATAAAAAAATTAAATAATTATTTATCGATGAAACAAAAGAAATATAACTTTAATCTTTGTATAACTTATAAAAACATTTTTAGAGTTGTTATATTTTATTTTTGGTTGACTATATTTATAGAATAAAAATAACAATCATAATCATACTATAAGAATAATTCAAAATAATTAATAATTAATAATTAATATTAGTTAGCAATTAAAAATTAATATCATTTAATAATTTACAATTAACATCAATTAGTAATCTATAATTAGTATTAATTAATAATTTATCAGAAGAAAGCGGCAAAAAGTTTCTGGAATTTATTGAAACGGTATGCTAACTTATCAACTAGTTTATGGCCATCCAAACGGGGTTTATAAGCTCAAAAAATAAGCTAGCTTATGGATGAAAAAACTAATCGACGACATTGATTAAATATGAAATATCAGGTTGCATCATTGTATAATAATTCTACTTCCCCCAACCTAAAGGATCTCGGAATAGTTCATCCCTTGTACGGTCCATGTTGAGGAATATTGGAGAACAAGGTTTTGCACCCAATTTTCCTATTACAGTTATCAATCAAGGACATATTTTCTCGGAGATAAAAATATAATCTTTTTAGTTCTTGTAACTTCTAACACCCAAGAAATACCTTTAGTTCCCTAGTCCTTTGTGAGGAAATGTGGAATTCAATATTAATGAAAGAACAAAAAGAGATGAGACCCTTGTAATTCAATATTAATGAAAGAACAAAAAGAGATGAGACACTCGTATCAGCATTTCCAGTCATGACATTGTCATCTACATAGACAATTAACAAAATGATATTTTGTACGCTTGTAGAACACAAAGTGGTCTCTTCATACCAAACTTTTTAATAGCCTCACTAAATTTTCCAAACCAAGCACGAGGACTCCACTGAAATAAAGATTTTTGAAGACGACAAACATACCCTGAGAAACAAAACCCAAGAGATTGTTCCATATATACCTCCTCCTGAAGATCGCCTTGACAAAAAAATAATTCTTGATATCAAGTTGATGCAAGGGCCAAATATGAGTAGCTGCTATTGAGATGAACAACCGAACAAAACTCAGTTTTGCATCAGAATAGGTTTAAGCATAGCCCTTAGCAACAAGACAAGACTTTAATCAAGCAACATACTCGTTTAGATTGACCTTGATTGTGACCAGCCATTTGCAACCGATAGGTATATCCACCAAGTCCCAAGTACTATTGTCATCTAAAGCATTCATCTTTTGTATCATGGTAACAACCAAGATGAGACATGGCTTTAAGGAGAGTTTTGAGGATGGAGACATAATTCAGGGGAGCAATAAATGAAGAGTAATGTGATATGTTGGTATGAGAAACAAAGAAAGAAACAAGATAGCTACATGAACGCTTATCTTTATGCAAAGCAAGACGGATATCATCATTAAAGATTGGATTTGATGATGAAGGAGCAGACATAGAACAAGAATCAAGAGGCGGATGTTTGGAGTAGACTTGAGTAATAAGAGGCGTTGAAGGAGTGGGTTTTGAGATAGGAATGGAGGATGTAACAGAATAGACTGCCAAATCATCATCATCCATCTGACGAGCTTTGATGAGAAAAAGTAAGGTGTGTCTTCCATTAAGGTAACATCAATCAATACAAGACACTTTTTAAGACTAGGACAATAACATTTGTTGCCTTCTCGAATACAAGAATAACCAAGGAAAACACATTTCAAAGACTTTGGGATCTAATTTTGAACCGCATAGACGAACATCCGGAACAAAACAAGTGACTTATTGAAGAAAAGAGTTTTGTAAGGGATCTCATGAAGAAAAACCAAAGACGGCATTCAGTTGATTAGAAAACATGTAGAAATTACATCACACATATTTTGAGATGTTGAGGTAAGCTCAAGATAAGTAATGGCTTATGGAAGCACAATGTTACACATTTCATTATGTAAAATGAAGTACGTATAGGATCAAAAACTAGTGCATTATGCTTTGGTTTCATATGGATAGGAGGAACAGATGATGTAGATTAAGCAAAATGACATTTTACTCAACGAATTACCACCGGCTATTGTGTCCTTGTAGGTAGTAACCTTGTCTTGTAGAAAAGCGAGACATAGCATAGGAGTCATAGTTAAGCGCCAAGTTAGAGAACCATGCAACATGTCTCCTGTGAGATGCATATGCCAAACAATTACTACTGGAGTTGTGGATTCTCAGACAAACTAATGAGGCTATACTATGATAACTAGTCTGCTATCCATATACTATTCATATAGGCATGAATTAAGTTTTCTACAAAGGGACCAACAAATTAAGGTTAGTTGTCATCTTGTGAGGAATCGCATCATAGGTACTTTAACTTCCCTTCATCTATTGAGAATCTCCATATTCGTATAAAGCACCAACAAGCAAGTATTATAATGAAACCTCTTAAGACAAGTAAACTTCATATGCAGCAAGTTGGTCATGATCAACAATATAACTTGAGTGCTACAAAAGTCCAATTCTTATTTATCTCCTCATGTTTATATTCATCTACATGTGCACCTTCTTTGCTAATCCTTATTTTATTTACCCTTTTACCTTTTTAAATAATGTTCTTCCTCGTTTACGAACACAACTCTTAACTATTTAGTTATGATTTATCTTTGATTGAAACATGCTACGTGCATGACCTTGCATCATGGTCTGTGTGATGCTTATGCTTTCTACATTTATACAGGAGGTGACAACATTGATCACAACTCCTTGATTTAGCAAGGGTTTCGAGGAAATAAGCCCTTGTAAATGGCCTCTCAATTGCAACTAACAGCAGAAGGTTTCCATACAATCCATATGAAATTTACTTAAAAGCATTTTAGCATTATGATTCTTATATTTGTTTTTCACTAAAAATTGGTATGTAACTAACAATTGTTCTAGCATGATTATGCATGCTTAAAAGTATGAACAAGCATTTGCTATTCTCTTTATAAAAGCACCCTACCAGAAGTTATAAGCTAGGCGGATTATATGATGAAATAACTAACTTTACATATGATGAGCGAATGTTAAAGAAGAAACAAATCTCGTCATTATTGATTAGGCCGTGATTACTTTATTTTCTCTTACCTCCTATCCCTCTTATTATGACCAATTCTTTTTGCTTGTTTTAGCAAAAGTGAGTGAACGAAGGTAATCAAACATCAGTATGAGCATTGATGTTTTCTCAAATTTTCTCAAATTCACTATAAATGGGTTGGGGTCTTTGTGAAAGGAGATTCATACTACATATCATTGATCATCATATAGGAAAGAGAAAATTGTAGGTAGACATTCCTCTTCCTCTCATAATGACTAATTAACGCTAAACAAATTATCCTTTTGGTTTTAGCAATGACATAAATATTTAAAATAAGTAATGCTCAAATATCCTTTTGGCACACCTTCATCGGGCAAGTTGTGAAGGTAAAAAGCAAATGTCAAATGCTCTTCTAACTTATATAACAAGGGCTAGTAACAAAAGCCTCGTGGACTTTAAGAACTAGATTATGACATTGTCATCTTTAGGAAAACGAGTTGGGGAAGACTAAAATTGAAACTAAAAGAACTATAAAATGTATCCAAAAAACTAGAAAGCATTCTTAGCTATAAATGAAATCATCACGCATATTCCCATCTAAGAACAACTCCTCTTATGCTCCACTTAAGTAAATCTCAGTCATCAAAACGGAGTTAAAGAACAAACAATCCACCCGAAGACCAGATGTTGAAGTATTCAAGACGTGAAAAAGCAAGTCTAACAATTGTGTGTATGTACAAATGTAGCCTCTAACATACATGCATAAAGATTCTAACAAGAACCGACACCTATGTAACACTCAAAAAGAAAATTGAAATAAATTTGAAAAATGTGATCTTTTAAAGGTAAGTTAGACCATATTGGAACAAGGAGTATTAAGGAAACTAAAAGATCCACAAAAGCTCTAAATGCTATTATCCAATATTGTATATGTTATATAACCACAATGATTGTCTTCTATGAGTATACACAAAAAGATACTTCTATGTTGAAATATAGACTACACTCAAGAAGACAAAACAAATTGAGCTTTGTTTCTAAAGGAATGGTACTTACATACTCCTAAGACTTGGATATCTTAAGAGCTTCAATTTGTATGATCAAAGGAGGCTTGTGTTTATTGACACTATGTATGTGGCAACCACTCTTAGTTCATTTGTATTATGTTTGCTTGTGTGGTTGTGTTCAGCTTATCGTGTTCAGCTTATTGTATTCAGCTAAGGCTACCAAATACTTCATTCTCAATTAACATTACAAGTACAGATGTATGTTTTAGCATAATTCAAAAATATTTGAACACAATAATGAGTTCTTTTATGAGTATATATACTAGAACTAAAATGTAATATATACTTCATTACTCATATACAAGAAACTCAACCGAGCCTTGTTCACAAATAGATTATTATTAACGCCGTTCACACTCTTGAAAGCAAGTTGGTTTAGATCTTCATTTACATCATCATCTTTCTAATAAGCATTCTTGTCATACTTTGTTGTACTATAACACTCACTGGAAGCATGCAATAAAGCTTTTGGTGGTTCTCACGTCTCGAAAGCACCAAGTGTTAGGTAGTTATAATTGGGTAATTGTGCCCTAGTGATTTGCATGATTGCCCTCTAATGTATTAATATTGTTTAAGCAAGCCACAAAGGAGCTCATTTACTAGTCATTGAAATCTCAAGAAGGGTTCGATGCACGAAAGTAGGGGAAAGCCTAACCACATAAATCAACATGTTTGAACTAAGCATTCCTAGTGATGAGGATATCAATAACATCAAGATGCTCTTAACAATAACATCTCTTTCACATTGAAGCCTAACTGCATGCCAATTTCAATTTTTTAAACCTATGGGAAGGTTTGTGATCACCAAGACAAAATTGAAGTGCATTCTTGCTTTTAAGTTGGGATGATCAATACATCTTAAATTGGTTAAATGGCATGTAACTAGCAATACATTACAAAAAGGAACCACAAACATGAGAAGCAACTTTGCATTGTTACTTAGCTTGTTTAGAGCACCAATACAAGCTCCCTTATCGATTTGCTACATAATCTAGTCTAACAAATGTACATATTAAAGCAACAAAAGAAGCTAAAGAGATTAGAAAAATCACCATCACAAACTCCACAAACGCAATACGAGATGAATGATGATAGTCTCCTAGCAACCTCAAGCGGTAAACCTATGAGATGCAAATTTATATAGTATATGGTTAACAATTCAAATGCAACAAAGTTGTCAAAATTTTGTACATGGATAGCTGTGAACCTCTCCACAAAGTGATTCGAAGAATAGCTTGACATCTGCCTGAGTAACCTGTTTCAAACAGAATAGAGATCACACAAATGCTCCCGTACCAAGGTTTGTCAAATGCATGCACAAGGATGATAAAACTTGAACTACCTTCTTGTCAATGTTAGTACAGTAAATAGTTCTTGCACACATTTCTCTTTCATCCTCAGACTAAACACAAACAATAGAAGGATAATAGAGTTAGCACGACTGTACATACATAGTTTATTCCAGTTTCACAAGTCACAGTAAAAGAACCTCACTCGTGGCAGAAAAGTTGGATTCACTGGTGCAATTGCAGTTTTTGACGGCAGCACCCTAACCGGGTAGAACCCGAGCATTGTTCCAGCAAGACTCAATGCATTCTTTGCACCTTCTGCAAGCATAGTAGAGAAATTGTAATGTTATACCAAGCACAAATAAATAATACTTACTAGAGGTATCAAAGGTTATATTTGCATACCCTCATCAGTGAACTCAATAAAGGCAAAACGTAGAACAGAATTAGGGTCGCCACATACACGGCAGTCAACAACCTATTGGGTCAATAAGAAAGATACAGGTTGGAGACCAAGATATATACCAGACACAAACACCAAGGCTTCTCATTATGATAGGGCAAACATATTTACCTGCCCACAATTAATAAAAAGTGCCGCAAGTTGTTCCTCAGTTACCTATACTCAACCCAGCGCAAAAGAGCAAACATACATTCAAACTTCATTGGGAACTGATAACCAGCATACTCCAAGTAAAAATTGATATATGTCTCTTTACCTGCTGATCGATGTCGGACACATGAACTGTTCTCTTAATGGCATCTTCTCGTTGTGCCATGTTGGTTCGGCTATTCATCCTCCGTTTTCCGCTACTAAAATTACCCTTCTTCTATTCATAAACAATTAGAAAAAACTCAGAACAATGAACGACAGAAACACAACATAGACAAAAGAAAACCTCAATTTATGTATGTGTCCTTTTTGCTAAACCTTAGTTTTAAACTTGCCTATGAAACATATAGGAAAATGCAAGTGTTAGCATAAACCCTGAATATGAAACAAACAAGAAAGTAGAAAGGAAACTAAGGATGTTGATAGAGTATACCCGTCCAGTGGAAATGCCATTGACGTTGAAAAAAGCTGTGTGGTTAGTTTGGAGTAGGAAATCGTTAGCAGCAGCATATCCAAAGTGACCAGCAACAGATGGTGATTGTACTAGAGTCCTATTATAACTATTGTTGGAAAGTGAAGGGGGCACAAATTCTTCAGCCATAGGATTCAATTTCGACAGCATCTCTTCCAAATCCCTCATTTCTTTCTTAAAATCCTCCTCCTCATGATCATGACGATCAACACCATTCACCACCATCTGGTGCTGCTGATGACTCGCGACACCATTTCCATTTATTGAAGTCCCGTTTACATTAGTCATTATATTCTTCTCCTGATGGAAACTCTGATGGTTATCATTTGACCTCGAAATCAAAACCGAAGATTCTGATTGATCAACATCGTTTGATTCGATTGACCCACCATTCTCAACAACAGCCATGATATCGATCGACCACCGACTGACACTAGTCTCACGGAGTTTTTTCTTTTCTTTTCCTTCTGCAAATTTTAGTTGATTCTACCGATCAAAATTCGAAGATAAACGTTTCCGATTAAAAAACTTGTTTTAATATAAAGAAGGAAGCTGAAAACATTCATACAATTACCTTATCGAAGAGTCTAAAACGGACTGCTCATTGATTGATTGAATTGAACTACAAGATCGTCAATTGAGAAATGATATATAAATCCAATGAAACTACAAGAAAGTCAAGAGGCGAAAGGAACCTTTTTCTTCAATAATGCATCACTGTTACCTTGTTTGAAGAGAGAGGCGAGAGCCGAGAGGTGTGTTCTTCGTATGGTCCGTTTTGGTAGTCTACATTTTCAATGATACGGCACATGCTCCAAGAATGTGTTTTTTTTTCTTTTTTGTTGAAAGCATTTAATGTAAGATTTATTTTTCTAATTCTTTTTTAACTTTGTGTAATTTTTGATTATGTATATATATATATTATATTATAAAGCATTTGATAAAAACTATTAAAAATAATTTGTTATGCATTAAGTACTATATATTGATGCATATCTATACTATATTATAAAATATTTGACAAAAACTCTTAAAAACCATTTTTTATGCATGAAGTAATGTTTATTGATGTATATTACTTAAAATTCAAGATTACAAGTAAATTATGCATAAGTACAACTTATTAAAGCTTCATGTTTGAATTCGTGTAACTAACTGCGGATAAACATAATCAAATAAATGATAAACATCTCATTTTAAAATATAAAAAATCTGAAATATAATTAGGATAATTATCGAGTTCTAATAGAATCTTTATCTTTATAAAAATTTATTGTTAAGCCAAAAATAAATTACTTCACTATTTGATTTAAATTAAATTATAATAAAAAAATGAATTAAATAAATATATAAAAAACAAAAACTTTTAAATAATTAATTTGATATTAATATCGATATATTTTTTAAAATTTATTTTTAGTCAAAGTAAAAAACATTATCTTTCTCAAAGACACATAAACCATATTATATCAACAAACAAAAAATAAAACAAAATATTAAAAGAACGATGTATCTCGCTGCATTGTGCGAGTACCTTCTAGTTACTTAAAATTCAAGATTACAAGTAAATTATGTATAAGTACAACTTATTAAAGTTTTATGTTTGAATTCATGTAACTGATTGTGGAAAAACATAATCAAATAGAGGATAAACATCTCGTTTTAAAATCTAAAATATAATTAGGATAATTATCGAGTTCTAACAAAATAATTAATTATTATCGTTATAAAAAATTATATTATTAAACCAGATATAAATTATTTCGTTATTGAACCTAAATTAAATTATAATAAAAAAATTGAATTAAAAATTTATACAAAAAATATGAATTTTAAATAGTTAATTTGATACGAATATCGATATATTTTTGTTAATTTTTTATGATATTTCAAATTT